CCCTTTCCCGGGCCCTTTCCCGGCCCTTTCCCAGCCCTTTCCCAGCCCTTTCCCAGACCGTTTCCCAGCCCTTTCCCGGCCCTTTCCTGGACCCTTTCCCGGCCCTTTCCCAGCCTTTTCCCGAGGCGTCCAGCAGAACCGAGGGCCGCGGGAATCCCTTTGGCCACTCCTCAGCATCTCACACCGTCCCTGCGGCGCTTCAGCAGTCCGGCCTTCTGGAAAGGTGTTTCTTGATAGACAAACCAAAAAGGAAACGATCCCACCCAGGGAAGTCCCTTTTTTCTTCCACAGAGGCCTAGGGATATAGGCCTCTGTGCCTATAGGATAGGCATAACATTCCTAGTTTCCCGAGTTCCTCGCTTCAGCGTTTTGCCGTGGGCTAGTAAAGCCAGCAATATTTCTCCTGAGTTATTCCTTTATTACAGAAGTTCTTCAGCTGCCCAAATACCACCTGAGGTGTCCGGGGTGCTGGACGCTGGCTCCGGCGCAGGTTGCCAGCAACACCAGGTATTTCCCTTCCCCGCCGCTGCGCTTCTCCCCGAGCCTCCTTCCTGCTGGCGCCGGGGCAGAGCAGCCGCTCGGCCGCTCACGTTGGCACCGGGATCTGCTCCTTGTCAGGGGCTGCTGCTAGGGGCGAGGAAAGGCTGGAGGTGGTCGGAATTCCTCAGCAGCAACCAGCCGTGTGTGAACTCAGGGCTAAGGAGGCTTTTCTCCTCTCCTCTGGCCGGTGTCAGTGACGGCAGCGGCTCTTGGAGCCTGGCACCGCACCCAGCGAATCCAGGCCCGGACCTGTTCAGACCTGGCTCCTCGGCGGGGTTTCGCAGGAGTGACTCACTCGGTGTTGACCAAACAGCCTGTTTTTCTGCTGCAAAACCCTGCCCAGAGATACTGGCTGCGGAGCCAACCTGCCCCAGGTGGCCGGCCCGCGATGACCACTCTGCTTTGCTCCTGCTTGGCTTGGGCTTCAGCTGCAAACCTGGAAAGAGGCTTTAAATTCTCTTGCCAAGTGCATAGTCATTCAGTCCCCGTCTTTTTTCTTTCTTTTTTTTTTTTTAAAGGCACAATTTCTGCCACCCGCTACACAGCAATGGTGATAGTGATTAATGCTGTCAGCCCTCGAGGGAGATTTAACCTCAAGACTCTTACGTATTAAAATCAGTTTGCTGGTCCGGTAAGCAGGTATCCAATTATTTACCTTGTCCGACGGGGTTTGACTCTCAGCCTGGCTGCAAATGCTCTGTGTGGATTCTGACCCACGCTGTGGCGCGTGGCCAGCGCCCGGGGCTGGCGGGGACCCTTGGCCTCCGTGTCACATCAGGGAGCCCTTGCAAGGTGCCGTTGATCTGACTTTATAAATCAATTTGGTACAAACCCCAGTGAGAGGCTCCCGTGCCAGCGCTCATCCTTGCAGCAGCAGAGGGGCACCCTCGTGTCTGTGTGTTTTTGTAAGCAGCTTTAATGCTTCTATTTTTAAAAAATGACCTGAGGAAAACAACTTGCGCTATCACTGCCCTTAACCTGGAGGGAAACACTTCCCCGTTCAGAGTCAGGTAATTTTTCTGGCACAGATTGCTCAAATCTTGCATTTTGATCATGTACGAGAGCACCACCTGCCTCTTCTTTCGTTCCACCTGCTGGGCAGCAGAGAACCTTGCAGCCAACGGTCCATAGGGTTTCCCCTCAGGGAAATCACGGTAATCAGAACTTGCTCTGGCCGCTAGTACAGAGAAAACAACCGACAGCGCCGCCTGTACCCACCCTAGGGAAGCGGCGGTGGTAGCTCAGGAAACTGAACAAACAGGAATTAATCAAATCAGGCTGGTTTCGAGGGCAGTGTAAAAAGAAAAACATGCCCATGCTGAAGGGAGATCTTTTAGGTTCTCGGTAATACTAGCTTAAGCCCGTATTCCTTTCTCGTGGTTGATACCAAAGAGTTGATCCTTACATGGGATCCAGGTAGGTTGAGCTCTGCCCACATAGGTCTGATTGTGGGCTCGTGTGTTGTGCGTGCTGCTGTGTAGGCGTTTCGAATAAAACCTTTAAAATTCAAGGCTGTTTTGCACAACTGTTACAATTCCTATGGGATTTCGGAGTTATTTATTGTTTGCTGCTGTGAAATGTTCTCTTCTCCGCCTGTTCTCTCTGCCCCTTTCTCGGCAAGTCTCTCTGCCCCCCCCCCCCCCCATTACTTTGGGGGAGTTAAAATGATTTTTGTGTCGGGGCCGGTAGGCAGTTTGGGATGCGAGGTGCTGTTCTCCGCAGGATGCATTCAAACAGGAAATTCTCTTTTGTTTCAGCCCTGCCCACAGCTCCTGAGGAGCAGATTTCCCTCGGCGCTGGCTGCCTGCTGATGTAAGGGCCTCCCGCAGCCTCCCGAGAGCCTCCCGCGCGCCGGCTGCTGCGGAGCCCTGGGCAGGCGCCGGTCCCGGGAAGCACCATGAGGATCCTGCTAGCCAAAGTGCTGTGTCTGCTGGGCGTCTGCGTGCTCATGCTGCTCGGGTCCCTCCTGCCCGTCAAGATCATCGAGGCAGATTACGAGAAAGCGCATCGCTCCAGGAGGGTCATTGCCCTCTGCAATTCTTTCGGAGGAGGCGTCTTCCTGGCCACCTGCTTCAACGCCTTGCTGCCCGCCGTGAGAGAGAAGGTAACGGCTGCCGAGCCTCCCCACACTGCGGTGGGGACCGGGGCAGCCACCCTGTGCTCCCTGCCCTCCAGGAGCAGGAGTGCAGGTCACCAGCAGCCCGTAGGTTCCCTGTCTCCAATGCTCAGACACATATGTGTGGGTATTAAGCATCCCCGAAACCGTTCACTGTTCTCAGGGTGCTGTAAACATAGGAATAATTGATATTTCCATTATTAAGGAATGCAGGAGCCTAGGCTTCCCCTCCTAGGCACTAGCTGTTGGAGGCTTTTTTCCCTGAGATGGATTTTGTAGGAAAATACTAGGGTGTCCTGGCAGCTCCTTGTGTCCCTTTGGCAGACGAAAGGTGGTTTGTGGCACTGGCGACCGTTTCTGTTTCCTTTATTCCAGCTCAGCGATGTTCTCAGCCAGGGGAACGTGACCACGGACTACCCTGTGGCCGAGACCATCATGATGGTCGGCTTCTTCATGACAGTCTTTGTCGAGCAGCTCGTCCTGACCTTCCAGAAGGAAAAACCCTCCTTCATCGACTTGGAGACCTTCAATGCCGGCTCCGACGTCGGGAGCGACTCCGAGTACGAGAGTCCCTTCATAGCGTCCTCCCGAGGGCGCGCGCTGCGCGCTGAGCACGGCCACCGCCCCCACAGCCACGGCCTGAATGTGCAGGAGCTCTCGCGGTCCGGCCCCTTGCGGCTCTTCAGCCTCGTGTTCGCGCTCTCCGCGCACTCCATCTTCGAGGGCCTGGCCCTGGGCTTGCAGGAGGAGGGGGGCAAAGTCATGAGCTTGTTCCTGGGCGTCGCCGTTCACGAGACGCTGGTGGCCGTGGCGCTGGGTGTCAGCATGGCCAAGAGCTCGCTGGCGATGAAGGACGCTGCCAAGATCGCCGTCACCGTGAGCCTGATGATTCCCCTGGGCATCAGCATTGGGATGGGCATTGAGAGCGCCCACAACGTGGCCAGCAACGTTGCCTCGGTGCTCCTGCAAGGCATCGCAGGGGGCACCTTCTTGTTTGTCACCTTCTTTGAGATCCTTGCAAAGGAGTTGGAGGACAAGAACGATCGTCTCCTGAAGGTCCTCTCCCTGGTGCTGGGCTACACAGCCCTCGCTGGGCTGGTCTTCTTCAAATGGTGAACACAGAAGGGATGGAAAGAAAGCCTTTCCTCCTCCCCTTGGGAATGGTGCTGGAAACGAGCCTGCTCTGCAGCCCAGGGGCAGCACCGAAGCCAGAAGCCACGTGGAACATCGCAGTCCAGGTAGTATCTCAGTATCAACCTGGAGGAGGAGAAGTATTTGCTGTGGACGTGGAGGGAGATGAAGATGAGAGTCGCAATGTAGATGTCACAAGATCTAGTGCTCTGCCCGCTCCTTCTCCGGGTCAGCAGCTCGTGCAGAGATTACTGGACACGAACACTAAGTATCTGGGTCTAACACTGAGAGCCTGTCGAGGTTGGATTTCCCATTGACGTGCACATCAGCCCCTTCCCTTCCTCCCCGCACACCCTTTCCAGAAACCTTGGTTGTGAGCCTGCTTCCTTCAGCCTCAGGTTCTGAGAAGGAGAGGATCAGTAACACCGAAATAAAGTCAAAAGCAGGTGGGGTAATGAGGCGCCCGGCTGCTCTAAGCTGCTTTTGTTAGCTTAGTTTCGAGCAAAACAGCTCCAGCGGGGCTGGGGCCGCGCAGGCCGCCTTGGCCCTCCGTGTTCCCGAAGGAGGAGGGATGTCTCTTCCCTGCGGGTTGGCCGGCGGCAGGGGAGGGAGCGAGGAATGGCTGATCAGAGGCTGTTTAATCCTCCCTGCTTGTTTGCTCTGTGCCCGAGCAGCGCCGGCAGTGGATCCCGCTGAGATCCAAGGTGCTTCCAGCAGGGAGCAAAGGCTGCACCAGGAACGTGGCCTTTCCTGGCATGGGAGGCACCACTGGGAGCGCCGTGAACAGCAGCTCCGCGCGGCTCCCGCTCCACACTGGCCTCCACTCACACGTGCGGTTTAGTTAGGCAAAGACTTCAGCCCCGCAGGGCTTCCCTGGGCAAATCCAAGCTCTGGGAAGCGTCATGGGATGGCGGTGGTTGCAGGGCTCCCTGCGCCGCGGTGCAGGCGCCGTCAGGATCAACCCGGGGCAGGGAGGATGGGGAGATGCAGGAGGCGGCAGCTGGGAGCCAGCGATTGGCACAGCTGGATCATCCACAGCTTTCCAGTGATCACTGCTTTAATGGTTGCAACACACAGGAGCAGATTCCTCTTTCCTGGAAAACCCTGGTGTGGGAAGGGGTCGGGGAGGGGTACATGGGGCCCAGATGACACAAATCAGCCAGGCCTGCTGAGACCTGGCGCGTTGAACGGGCTTCTTGTTCCACTCCTTGCTGGATGAGGTGCAGGACAGCGCTGGATCCCGATGCTGGATCCCGATACTGGATCCCGGCGCTGGATCCGGCTCTGCCCGCTGCCCCGGCTGGCATTTGTCCCAGGCAGGTGACACGCGTGGGAAAGGCCGGGGTGCTGCAGGGGATGGGGTATCACCAGGCACCCCTGTCACCAGGGCCTCGTCCGCGGCCGGGAGCAGCCTCCCAGCCCAGGCCCGGGCATGGCCCGTCCTGCCCGTCCGGCCGCGGCTCCGCGCCCGCCTCCGGCTGCGGCGCTGGGCTCGGAGCAGCAGGATGAGCGGGACGGGGGCAGCGCGAGCGCCCGGGAGCCGCGAGGGGCCCCGAGGTGCCCCCGTGGGCACCGCGCACGGCGGCTCTGCCCCCTGCGCTGCCCAGGGCCCTGCGCCCAGGGCGCACGAGGGGCTGCCTGGGTGCCCGCGTGGGTGGCCCCGCTCGCAGCTCTTAAGAATCGCTGCAGATTTTATCTGCCCCTGCACAGGAGTCGCATCGGCCGGCGCCACCGCGGCCACTCGTGTCCCCGGCACCGGCGGGACCCCCGTGCTCAGCCCCACTCCCGCTGCAGCCCCAGGGAAAGGGGGATTCCCTGGAAAAGGAGCCCCCAGGAAGGGGAGGGGACAGGGCTGCACTGGGGACAGTCACCTTAAGCCTGTCCCCGTAAGCTGCTAAGGAGCAATCCTGCTCTGCCGCCCCAGGGTTGGTTATTCCGGGCAGCGACCAGCTGTGCATGCATGAGCACGTGTGTGTGCATGCATGTGCATGTGTGTACATATATGTGCACATTTCTGCATGTGTGTGCACATCTGTGCATGCATGTGCACATGTGTGCACATCTGTGCATGCATGTGCGCACATCTGTGCATGCATATGCACATCTGCATGCATGTGTACATCTGTGCATATTTGTGCATACGTCTACACGTCTGCATGCATGTGCTTGCATGTGCACGTCTGTGCACACTCAGGGACATGCAGCTGGTGTGACCAGCTGGCAGTGCAGGGGACAGGGTGTCCCCAAGCCTGGCCTGGACCCCGCTGCCTTGGAGGATTCTGCACCCCAAGGTGTCACCCATGTGTCCGTGTGTCTGCCCTTGTGCACACGTGTGGGGACGTGTGTGAGCAGGGACATGTGTCAGTAGCAGCCGTATGTGCCTGTCCATGTGTCCACCCGTGTGTCCCCATCTGCCTGGCCTTGTCCCCCTCAGGGTGTCCCAGGCTGTGTGGGCACCTTTCCGTGGCCCCTTCTCTATCCGTGTGTCCCCATCCCTGTGTCCTTGTCCTCTGCATCCGCCTCCCTGGCCCCATCCGTGTCCCCGCCCGTGTGTCCATCTGCCTCCGTGTCCGAGCATCCCCCCCAGCGCCGTGTCCGCTCCGGGCCCGGTTCTGGCCCCGGTTCCGGCGCCGGTTCCGGC